TGTTGAAGGGCACCCATATATAGTATTTTCAAGGTTGTTTCCCATTAAACAGTCAGGTCACAAAACTATGTTATCCTACAATGAGTAAGAAATTGTGGTAAAACTGTGGGGAAAGATCCAAAGATCTAAAACTTGTCATCTCTAGGTATTTTGTAGTTGATCAGAATTACTCTAGGTTACACAGAAATCTTCAAGAAATTGGTGTGTCAATGCAGAATACCTTTTAAGAATACCAAATGGTATGCATGCAAATCCAAAAATTGGTTACTTGCTTATATAACCATGAAATTTAGCAGAAGACTCTTATATAATGGGAATCTTCCTTTTACTCAAATGACTATGTGTTGAGAATGTGATCTAGCCAACTTTAGGAAGACATTAATTTCTGTATTATTCACTATCATATAGGATAGATCTGCATTATATATTGCATTTTATGTTTTGCTTATGCTTATATGGTGTATGGGGAGGTCTCCAGCGCCTCTCCAGGGGGTCCTTTTTTCCTGCCCAGGAGGGTATAAGCCACAGGAAAAAAATAAGTCAGAAATAATTAGTAAAGAACAAAAGACACAGAATCAGAAAAATAGTTTTACAGTAGAGCCCCTGATAGGCCCAGCTCACACAGGCGCTGGAGCTGGACAATTAAAAAACGGCTCCCATGGTTTATTTAAGGGGGTATATTGAAGGCAGGAAATAGATTCCAGGGGTGGAGTCTTGCTTCATGATATCTTGCAGTCAGCAGGTTGATTGGCATCTTGGCAGGTCACATCCATCTCTGAGAGGCTATGTGGCTGTAGTAAATCACCCTATCTCTGGGGCTGTGTGGGGCCTGGGACAGAGTTTGAATAAGGTCACATGTGTCTGGGCAGTATTAGCCAGAGGAAATTTCCACTGGAAGTTCCCAGACACCAGATTCTCCTATTTACTAGACTGTGATGCCAATGTAGTCCACTCATGGCCCACTGATGGCTCTTGACAGTGGTTAAAGAGGAGTAACATTTAATTGGCTCAAAATTCCCTTTTAGGAATTATCTGCTGAAGTCCAGTATATATTTTAAGCAACACTAACTTACCCACTAACTGGTTTCTATAGTGGATCAGAAGTCTTGAGAGAAAAATAAAAAGAGTAACTATTGCTATTATATAATAGGCAGCTCTCTGTAGTCAGGAGTCAAGTCTTAATGTTTCAGTCCCTAGGGTTAAGTTTGGGTTCATGTGGTTTACTACAGTACTCAGTGTGGCCCCCCTGCCTGAGTCTAATTTAGAGCGTAAGAGTTGCTGACCTGGATTTATTTGGGTGGAGTAGTCACAGTGATAACTGTTCTTTTCTTCATTCTACCAGCTCTTAGTTTTTACCTTAGCTAGGCTTTTTAATAAGTATTTTTCTCTCAGTGGATAATTCTTATCAAAATGTCATGGTATTTTACTAAGCCACACCCAGAGCTTGTGTGGAATTTTTATATTTACATAAATTTACTTACCTGATAGCACACTTACTTTCTTCATTTTTCAGTTCTGCCCTAGTTGCTAACGGAGTTACTGCCACTGGGAAGTGGCCTTAAATCTCTTCCTAGTTTAAGAGTCTTAAAATATATTTGGAAATTGAGTCCTCACCTGTAATGGATGACATCCTATATATTCAAGGACTGGTAAGGTCTCTGTTTAATCTTGGGTTTATCCATCTTAAGCCCTGATTAAGCACAGATCACTTGACCCCTCCCCCACCCCACCCCCCAGCAGAGCTCCAACTCCCAGTGCAGGAAGCTCTCCCTGCTCTGAAAGGATCAAGATTTGGGTCTTTGCTTAGCACAGACTGTCAGATGGGATAGCTTAGAATCCAGCCATAGTTAAACAGAGAGAAACTAGGGTACTGAGGCCTGAGCACTCCATATTTTCTACTACGTCCTGCCACATGTTGGCAAGAGTGTGAGGAGCCCTGCCTATGAGCACACCCTGTTTCCTCTGAACTTGTAACAACTGCTTTATTTTTACAATCTCCCTTCCTACTCTCTTTGCCCCTTGTTTCTTCTGCTCCTAGTTGAGTAAGTGCAGCCAGAGAAAGGATGCTAATGTGATTTTTCTTAACTAAAGGTGGTTTTGATCAAGTGGGCTTCAAATTACAAAATGAAATTTGTCTTATTTTACTTTTAAATTCTATGGCTTATGAAGAAGCATAACCAAATAGTATGCATATTGTTCAACAGTGGCCACTTTTGCTAAATTGTAATTTCTCAAGAAATCATGTGACTATATAAACTCATCATTATGAGTAAAATTTTCTAAGATCCATCTGTGATTTGAAATGCAAACAGGCCTATATTATTGTCATTTGCTCCAAAAACCATTTTTCTAAATCCTCTGGATTCATAAAATTTCTTGCAAGGCAGGACTATCATGGAAAAATGGCAAACATAAGTAGGATTTGGGAATACAAGGTAGGGATACTTTTTAAGTTGTAAGGTGGACAGTGATTAGTTTGGCCTTTTATCTGGTGTTTCATATTACCACCTGTTATAAGTGACTTTATTTTTCAGTTCATTTCCATCTTTTTGAACTTAACAATCTCAGAAAATTATCTAATGATTTTCTTCCATTTCTACTCAACAGTGATCCATTGATTTTGACTATACAGTAAATTAGTTGTTGCTTATGAAAGTTTCACAGTGCCAGTGAGTCACAAATGAGAGTAAATTCTCATTTACTCTCAGGAAAAGGAAGTGTGTAGTTTTCCTTCTCAGGGAACTAAGAATTACACTGCTTTATAGCCATTCTTTGAACCATATAACATATAAGATTTGACATGATTATTCTTAATTGACTTGGGTTAGTCGGACATTTCTAGAATTTGGTTCTGCCTTCAGATTTAATTATTATGGGCTTTAAGAAGTGAGCAAATTAAATTTTTCTGGTGCTGTTATATATCACTTTTTAGTGATATAATACTGTATAGAGAATATAGAGTTACATCCTTGGTGAATTCAAAGGTATTGGCAGTAAGGGTCTATCTGACCCAACCCCTTTTATTTAATTTCAAATTCTCTATTCTTTATCTTTCCCCTTTCTTCTCAGAATCTCTCTTACCATCAAAGCAGAAATTTTAGAATTCATTCATTGATTTATTCAGTAAATTTTCACTGAAGCCTTATATGCCAAGATAAACATTGGGAATGCAGTGGTGTGTACCATAGACCTTGCCCTAGAATTTATCATCTAGTACAGGGATTGGGAGGCCAAATCCAGCCCGCCATCTGTCTTTGTATATGAAGTTTTTTCCTTCCCCTAGAACTGGGAATTGAACCCATGGCCTTCAACATGCTAGGCAAGCACTCTACCACTGAGCTACATTTCCATCCTGTATATGAAGTCTTATTGAAGTTTATATTGTCTCTGGCTGCTTGCACACTACAATAACAGACTTGAATAATTGCAACAGAGACCAAAAACAATTTTGGTCTGCAAAGCCAAAATGTTCACTACTTGACCCTTTGCATAAAAAGTTAGCCGATCCCTGCCTTCTTTGGTAATGATGGAGGTATTATATAAATGCAGGAAAGACAGTAAATGAAACAGGTATATAGTGTGAGGTCAATGTCAAGTTCAGATTTGGGGGTTTCAAATTTAGGTCCCAGAGACATATAAATAGAAATGTTAAGGAAGCAGTAGACTATAAGGTCTAGAGATCAGGACTATTATGTGGGCTGGGAAAATGGATGTAGGAATCATCAGAATAAATCTGGTCACTAAGCTTAGAAGAGAATGAGGTAACCTGGAATGAGAATGGCATGGCAAATGGACTTCTCACAGAATCCTAAAGAAAACCAATAGTTTAATATTGGACAACGAACCATTAAGTTAAAGAAAAATCAGAACAACTTTTAGAAGAAGATAAGCGGAAGTTTGAATCCATTAAAACTTCTATTATTGAAGTGGGTGAATTTGGGAAATATTTAAATAAGCACAGGCCAGCCTAGATAATAGCATGTATTTCACAACTGGATAGGTTGGTTTCATGTATCATCATAGTCCATATTCTTCTAATGTATAGTTTTCTTCCTGTAAACCATTAGGTAATTTAAGTGGATGCCCAGACAAATTAAATCACAGTGTCTGAAGGGAGAACACAGGCATCAGTATATATTTTAAATCCACTGAGGTGATGTTAATGCTGGGAAATACTGTTTGGGGAGAAGAATGGTTCTGGCTTAATAAGTTAACAAAATCTCTCAGGATTTCTGACTGAAAGAACTACATAGATGAAGAGGGTCCAAACAGAAAAGAGCGGTGCCCCCTGATGAATATCCTTATAAGCAGAACCTGTTTTTACCTCTGCCACTCCTGGAATGGGGCAAACTAGGGATTTGGGGTGGTTTAAAAGACTTGGTTACAGTTATTAGAGTTTTTCCCATAGTTCTGAATTCAGCTAAACTCTCACTGAATAGAAAACACTGAACTGGCCTGTTGAGTACATATCCTCACCTTGTCCCTCTGCCATTTGGGGTATGAAGCCAGCTGATGGATGAAATCCCTCTAATACCTTTGCCATCGTATGGCTGTATTACTTACTAAAAATTATATTTATCATATACCAGATGCCTGTGAAAATTATTACTATATAACATGACCTATTAAGTATCTGTTTTAATCAAAGATCCTAGAAACTCATTGCTCTAATCCTTAACAGTATTAACCCTTAACAATATTGACATTAGTAAGAGATCTTTGTTAGTTAAGTTTATAGAGAGATGATTTTTTTAAAGTGTCCATTCATTTATTTTGGAATAGTATGGTGAGGAAATAGTCTATTTCTTGGTAGTTCCATTCTATCCTGAGAAAGATCTTGTAATATGAAGACCTAACAAAATGGCCTGTTTACATTTCACATTTTAAACTGTTTTTATTGCCGCCTCAGTCTTTCTTTAAACATGAAAATTTGTATCATAAACTCTACTGTGGTACTTTGCCTTCATGTACTCATTGTATATCCTCCTCCTTTTGTATAGGAAGACAGAGATGTCAATAACCCCATGCCCAACCGAGGAGGCAATGGATTAGCTCCTGGGGATGACAGATTCAAACCTGTGGTACCATGGCCTCATGTTGAAGGAGTAGAAGTGGACTTAGAGTCTATTAGAAGAAAAAACAAGGCCAAAAATGAACAGGAGCACCATGCTGGAGGAGATTCCCAAAAAGACATAATACAGAGGCAGTATCTCACATTTAAGCCTCAGACATTCACCTATCGTGATCCTGTGCTACGCCCCGGGATCCTTGGTAACTTTGAACCCAAAGAACCTGAGCCTCATGGAGTGGTTGGTGGCCCTGGAGAACAAGCCAAGCCATTGGTTTTGGGACCAGAATTCAAACATGCAGTTCAAGCCAGCATTAAAGAGTTTGGATTTAACATGGTGGCAAGTGACATGATCTCACTGGACCGCAGCGTCAATGACTTACGTCAAGAAGAGTAAGCACACATCCTCTTCTTTCTAAAATTGGGGCAACTATTGCTTTGCTAGATATTGAGATTGTTAGGGATGGAGAAAATATTTATGCCTTTATTTCAATGAAATAAGGGGACCTTTGGTGAGCAAAATGACCTGAAAGATGAGGGCCTCCATTTTTGTCTTCATATTGAAGGTACAGTGTATAAAATGCTGGAGTCTTCTATATCAGTGCTACCAAAACAAAACATGGTCCCCAGACTGACAGCAATCTATGATTTTTGTTTGTTTCCTGCCCACAGTGAGAAAATGAGCTTATACCAGGATGAACATAAACTATACCATTAAATACTTTGTTTAGTTCACCTGACAATTTTTTGATACAAAACTTCTTCCACATGTTGATTTTCATTCTGGAGCAAGCACGTTCCTTATCTTTTTGTAGAACAAGAGTACATACCAATACTGCTCTGGGTATCTCATATTATTAGGTAGATTTATATTTCCTTTATTTTTTTTCCTTAGTACTGAAACAAGAAATTGAAGCATTTAAATATATACAAAGAAGGCATACTCAGATAAAACTGTGGCCTAAACTTTTTTTTTATGTGATATATAAGTTAAATGAAGGGTTTCCAGCTCTTAAGTTGTAACAGTGATTATTGAATGAACTCAAAACTTTTCTCTTTCAGTTTATTCAATAACTATTTCTACTAGTGTGGTATCTAAATAACTTTTAATGATGTGTATGCAAATTTATTCACTACTGGTAGAAAACTTTCAAAGTATATTCTCAAAATGATGTATTGTTAGCATAGTCTTCATGTGAAAAGGTTAACACAGCAGGTGCACAGACACCCCCCAATATCCACCCACAAACACACACACACACACACACACACACACGGTTGCACCAGCATCTTTATAACCACTAAGTAAAATTCCATACCTAATGTAATACCACTCAATAGATGTCAGACACTCATACACATATTGGTAAGAATGAGAAGAGATGAATGAAATATGCATAGAAAGTAGGAGTGGATAGCACCATGACAGTAGGAAATATAACTTATACAGAGAAGAATTAGCATCACATGGGACTGTGAAGAAAATCTTGGACCAATTTATTCCTAGTAGAGACTTACCTTGTCATAGGGTTGCTAGATTAACCCATAAAAATACAAAATGCACAATTAAATTTGAATTTCAGATAGATAGTAAACTGTATTTGGACATACTAAAAAAATTTTTTTTTGTTTATGTGAAATCCAAATAAATAGAGTGTCTTCTGTTTGATATGGGAGTGTTTCTAGTCAGGAGGTGAGGGTGATTGTTGCAGAGTTAGAACTTTTCAGAGAGTACCTCTTAGAACCCATGAAAAGATCTGCTGTCTCAACCTACAGGGTGTCCCAGTTATGTTAAATATAGCACTCAGTCATATACTTCATATGCACAGAGTACTCTTTACTCTTTTAAAGAGGGACTTTGAGAACTTGTGGCATTCTCATACTATATGGAAGGAGAAAGGGAAGGGAGGGGAATAAAAAGAAACAGTCTATCATTTATTGGCTTCCTACTTCATGCCAGGACTTATAAGTTATTGAATTCTTACAACTAAACTATGAGAGAGTTCTTACCTGTATATGTAAAGTCTGAGGCTCAGAATGATCACTTCTTTATATATACCCAGCAAAGTGGCAAAGCTGTGATTCACCCTGAGATGGCTTGGTCTGAAAACCCCTTCTCTTTTCACCACATCACCCTTAAGGTATATCTCTTTCTAGATAGTGAACATAAGAGTAGATGTTACATTCAGAGGGTGAACTTGGCAGTGTGCAAATGGAGATTTTAGCACATGAACTAATTATAAAAATATATGTAATTTCAAAAACTAGTATAAATACAGATAGCTTTTTAATCTCAGAAATGTGCTAAGAAAATCAAATTATGTACAAGACTTAGAGTTGTGCACAGGATTTAGAGCATCCTCCATGCTTCCTTCTCTGTTACCTCTTACATCCAGTCTATCTGCAAGGCCTCTGGTTTCTACCACCAAAACATAGCTCAGATCACTTCTGAGGTTCATTTCCTTCATCTCCGTTGCTACCACCCATGTCCACGTGACCATCATCTCTCTTGGAATCCTGCAAAAGCCTATTTACTGGTCTCTATACTATTATTCTTACTTACTGCCTATTATTTATACAGAAAACAGGGTGGTCTTTTAGAACCCAAAGATGGTCTGTTGAAAACCATTCTGTGCTTTCCATTGCACTTAAAATAAGAAACAAGCTCCCACCCTGCAGCAGCCTATATGCTGTGACCCTATAGGCATGATCTGCCTTGTGGACCTCCTTTTGCCACCATACAACTCACCCATAGCACCCCAGCTATGTTGACCTGTCCCAGAGTCTTTGCATATGCTTTTCTCCCTCTTCCACAAACGCTTTTGCTCTTCATCTGCTGCCAGCCCTTTCCCATCCTTTAGATTTCAGTTGGACTTTGCTAACCATGTTGTTTAATTTAGTAGTGCCCCACTTAATTCTCTTTTACTACTCCCTGACCATTTTGTTCATAGTATTTACCAAATTTTATACTTACAGGCTGGGATTATGGCTCAGTGGTAGAGCACGTGCCTAGCACACATGAGACACTGGGTTCAATCCTCAGCACCACATACAAAAATAAATAAAATAAAGGTATAAAAAATTATTATTTAAAAAAAATTTTTTATACTTACCTAGTTGTTTATTGACTCATCTTTCTTACTAGGTGATAAACTCCTAAGATCAAACACTATGTCTAGGGCTGGGGTTGTAGCTCAATGATAAAGCATTTGCCTAGCATGTGTGAGACCCTGGGTTCAACCCCCAGTAACACACACATTCACAAGACAATGTCTCTTTTCTTCACTGGCTACTCCCAGTAACTAAAATATAGGAACTCAGTAGTACCAACTAAATATCTCTTTGAGAGAATGAATGAATAAGTGAGTGAGTGAGTGAGTGAATGAATTAAGGGAGTAGGCCAACATTCAGCCCTTGACCCCAACACCAGATGTGAGATCTTCAACCTGTTTATCCTTTCTAACCTCTAATTTAAAATGATGTTAGCAATAACAATCTCAGGATTTACATTAGAACTAAATAACAATAGATTAAAACTCTTATTATAGACATGTTGTTTAGAAACTTAAGTATTATTAGCTCCTCTACTGCTGTGGCACTTTTCTTAGTACTTTCTTGTCAACATTGGAATGTTTTCAGTTATTATTCAACTTTGATATTCTTTATTGCTTTTTGAAAGGCACAAATATCACACATGTCTTAGCTATGTCATCTTGCTTCTACTTGTAGCTTCTATGATGGCAAAGCCTTCATTTGTCTCTTGAAAATTTTAGACACACTAATTGCCATTCTGACTCCCATCGGAGTCCTCCTAGCTCCCCTACAGTCTCTTTCCTATCTCCTCCTTTCCCTTTTCTCTTTGCCCCTTTGCTCCTTTTCTCCCCTCTCCTTTCCTTTCCTCCTCCATATTTCTGCCTTTTTCTCCCTCCCGTTCTTCTCTCTTGCATCACATAGTCCATTGTTTCCCATGTGCTTTCCTTTGCACATCTACAACAGGACCTAGAAATAGGATGTTTTGTGTTTTTATGTGTCATTTTATATTTTGTCTCCAATCAAACAAAATGACTCAAGACTACCTTAGCAAATACTCTTATGCCTTTATTTGAAACTATACTAGTGATAAACTCCTCTCTTTTTAAAAATATTTCAAGGGCTGGGGTTGTAGCTTGGTTGTAGAGTATTTGCTTGGTGTGCATGAGGCCCTGGGTTCCATCCCCAACACCACAAAAATAAATGAAGAAGGAAAGAAAAATAATTTTAAAAGTTAAAGAACGAACAAGGCTCAGAGAAAATGCCCCTTTATTGAGGAACAGCTCTGCATATTTATAGAGCCGGGGGTGGTTTGACAGTTATGACAGTTTAATGGTTGAAAGGTTTGACAGTTGGCATGGGGTGCTTTTTGATTGGTGGATAAGGATCATGTGAGCCAGCAGGGCTAGTCTGATTGGATAAGGATCATGTGAGCCAGCAGGGCTCACCATTGGACAGCTCTTCTCAGGGGATGGGGAAGTTATTAGTCTTTGGAGCCAGGGCAACTCCCAACAAAAAGCATTCAAGTGTAGCAACCCCCAGAAATAATTTTTAAATCGAATCCACATTACATTCTAAGCTGGATTCTTTTTTTTCCCCACATTTTTAAAATTTGTTCTTTTTAGTTATACATGACAGGAGAATGTATTTTGACATATTATACATACATGGAGTATAACTTCCTGTTCTTGTGGTCGTGTATTCATATTTGAACATAGAAAAGTTATGTTCGATTCATTCTAATGTCTTTCCCATTCCTATCCCTCTTCTTACTCCCCACCCCCACCTTACCAATCCAGAGAACCTCCACACACACACCCTGCCTATTGGGAGTGAGTGACCACATATCAGAAAGAACATTCAGTGTTTGGTTTTTTGGGATTACCTTTCTTCACTTAGCATGATAGTCTCCATTTCCATCTATTTACTGGCAAATGCCATAATTTCATTCTTCTTTTGGCTGAGTATTATTCCATTGTGTATGTGTACCACATTTTCTTTATTCATTCATCTGTTGAAGGGCACCTAGGTTGGTTCCATAGCATACCTATTGTTAATTGAGCTGCTGTGAACATTTGATGTGTCCGTGTCACTATAGTATGCTGATTTTAAGTCTTTTGAGTATATGCCAAGGAGTGGGGTAACTGGGTCAAACGGTGATTCCATTCTAGGTTTTCTGAGGAGTCTCCATACTGCTTTCCAGAGTGGTTGCACCAATTTGCAATCTCACCAACAATGTTTGAATGGACCTTTTCCCCCCACATACTTGCCAGCATTTGTTGTTTTACTTGTATTCTTTTTTTTTTATTGGTTGTTCAAAACATTACAAAGCTCATGACATATCATCTTTCATACATTTGACT